AGAGGGCACAATCAGGGCTGTAGGAGGGTTCTGTACCGTGTACTGGTCAAGGAAGATGTGCAGCTGCTGCACACTGATGCGCAGATCAGTCTCATTGAACTCGTATGGAATGTTCCAACCCAGCGGCCCAAACTTCCGCCTTTCTTGCACCAGTGCGTGGAAGAAGCAGAGGCCGTACAGCAATGTCTTAAACTCAGCCTTAAAACCAAACACAACAACATGAATAATTAACATCAGTTTTAAACAGTTTCATTTTTTAACAGTTTCATTTTTTCCTCATGTCTTGACTTGCTCAAAACCCAGATGCTCCTGCTCCAGTAACATGCCATTTGTGATTCATGGGTAGCATTTCCTGACACAAAAAAAGGCCTTCAGCAGGAAGTCATCAGATTTTTTTTAAAACATTGGTTTTAAACCAGTGTGAACCCTCAAATCAATTTTTAAAGCTATATACCCATGTGTATGTAAGATATATAACATTCATGCACAACTCTGTATATAAGATCTTTGAATTTTTTTTTACACCTTCATATTATAAAACACAGTTCGCACACTAGTCCTGCATTTTTTTCTTGTTATCAAGAAAGATTTCAGGCCTTTAAAGAAATCTCCAGGTAGGAAGATTTGGTTTGGTTTGTTTTCAGTTGCGAATATTCAGCAAAGTAGATGACCACAATTAAAAGAACTGTGCTATTTATTATATATTAACAACAACAACAAAAAGTAAAATATTTTGGGCCAAATACTCATGCACACAGAAAGCTAATTATGAAAGCAGTGGTTTCTGAGGCCTACTTAAAAAGGGACATAGGAAAGACATTTACTTAAGCATTCTATAAACCATGCAGTGCAATCACATGGCCCTCTCAATTAAACAGTGGACCTAATTTTGCCTTTTTGGACTAATCGCTTGCTAAAAGAGCATTCACATAAATGAATACAAGATTCCAGAACCTTGCAGCAGATATGTAATAGCAAATAACTTTCTTTTTGTGTGTGTGTGTGTTATAGAGATATAACCTTAACACCATGCCACAAAAAAAAAAAAAACTCAATTGAAGAAGTAGGTGGCGAGCAGTAAAATAAAAATCAAATTTACTTCACTACTCTGATTACTCAAAACCAGTTTCATTATAGCAAAGGACAACTATTTAATTTGGTACAATTTTTTTTTCTCCCCAGAGCATATATACAGAATCGTCAGAGTTGTCTTTGACTGTTTTACAAAGAAACATCACCAATACATTCTAACCGTTTTTTTGCAGCTGTTGAAAAAGTTAGGATCAGATATTGGGTCCATCAGGTATGAACGAATTATATTAGCCCGTAAACCTTTTGGTGCTTCATTAGTCATTTTCACTCCATTCTGCAGTACAGCCACAGGAAAAGTAGGAGATGGGTAACTGGTGAGCCACAGTCGGAAATCTGGATGTGTTGTATCAGGGTTTAACTCCTGCAATAAACACATTAAAAACAATTAGAAAACATGAGAGTTGAATATACAGCTTAAGTGTTATTATTAAAGCTTTTTTTTTTTTTTTAATTACTGTTTTTTGGTGGAAAATACACAAGTCCAAAGTTTAATTTCTTAAATGCTTGTATGTGATTATAGTGAGATTCACAATTATGATAACTTCCATTCTACATCTGGAGTATTTTTTTTTTCCAAGGCATCAGTATTTTGAGCTAAATTTTCTTCGCTCTGTGTATGATTATGGGATATACGAACAAAAATGCACTGCAAGAACAATGGCATGTATATTTTGCATATTTACTGTTGTATAGCTCTTGTGAGAAGGGCTATAGTAATAATATGAAAAAATTATTAATGTCAGAAAATGATTAAATCAAGAGAGAGTATAAAAAGCAAGAAATGTACTCTTTCATGTCTTCAGAAACCTCCAGATATTCAAGTGTAAAATTCTTTAGTCTACTGCTCTTTTGCAGCAACATATAAAGAAAGCTTTTGGTCTAAAGAGACTGCTGTAGTGGCTGGCCTTTACTATTCAAGGAATGCACAAGATCCATAGTTTTTGTGAACATTTCCTTCTCTAGTAGGCAGATGGAGATAGAACCAATATGTGATGATTCCCCTTATATAATGGGAATTGTCACAAAGTATGTTAAGCTGGTGCAGCCTCACCTCAAGTACTGTGTGCAGTTTTGGGCACAACAGTATAGAAGGGACATCAAACTGTTAGAGAGTATCCAAAGGAGGGCTACAAAGATGGTGATGGTGAAGGGTCTGGAGGGGAAGATGGATGAGGAGCGGTTGAGGTCTTGGTTTGTTCAGACAAGAGCAGAGCAGAGCAGGCCGAGGGGAGGCCTCATGGGAGCCTGCAGCTCCCTCACGAGGGGAGCAGAGGGGCAGGTGCTGAGCTCTGCTCCCTGGGGACAGCAACAGGACCCGAGGGAATGGCATGGAGCTGGGACAGGGGAGGGTCAGGCTGGGTGTGAGGGAAAGGTTCTGTACTGAGGGTAGTCGGGCACTGGGACAGGCTCCCCAGGGAAGTGGGCACGGCCCTGAGCCTTACAGACTTTATGAAGCATTCGGCCAACGTTCTCAGACACTAAGTTTAGGGTAGGCTTGTGCGGACCCAGGAGTTGGACTCCATGATCCTTGTGGGTCCCTTCCAACTCAGGATATTCTATGATTCTAGGCTGGCTTTTCATCTGCCTAGATGGATCAGACATGCCTCCAAAAGTTGGTAGAAGAATACTTATTTTTTACCTCACAGACTCTTTCCAGTGTCGGCATCCATGAGCTTGCTAGATGGCAGTTCTGCAGAACTATCCACGCTCCTTCCTTTACAGCCTTCTCTATCATTTTCATGGCTATTGGGCCTTGGCCTTGACCAAGTGACAGAGAACTAAGCTTTGTGTCACTGTATCCCTGCATTATAGCACATTATAAGTAAGAATGCTATTGCATAAATACAACAAACCTTCTGGTGTTAGAGTTCACAACTGCACATATTCTTGAAATATTTCATGTACTATATATTTTAAAATCCATTTTAAATCTCTTTTTCATGTCACTCCAGTTGACTAAAACTTCTTATCTATCATCTCCCAGCAAAATGCTACACTACACATCCATTTCATACTGAGCTGTACAATTCTGACATTTTCAAAACACTCCTGAAAAATGAATGCTCTTTAAGCATGTAGACAATCCATTTTAAAATGCAGGACATATTTACAGCTTGGTGGCTGGAGATTTGAAGTAGAAGATCTTTGTCATTCTCAATAGCACAGAATTCTGATGGAGTAGCAGCCGTAGCAGTCAGGAAGTGCAAGAAATACATCTTAGCAAAACTCAACAACTTTGTATTGTTATAACAATACACTTTTCCATAACTACTGATCTACACTGGGGATTTTTGTTTGTTTGTTTGTTTTAGACACCATAGTAATAATGGCCAAAGCAAATGAAAAAAATCCACATTTGAATTCTGAGGTGTAAATTTCACCTGAAATACTAAGATCCTGTATTACTACACTGCTTTACAATCAGGTCCATGTATGTGTATTGGGAAGAAAAAAAAAAAAAGCACGTAATGCTTACTAGAAAACATACCATTTTCGGATAAGACTCATTACAGTGAAAGTTTAAACCATTACATTTTTTTCTTCCATTTTCCATTTGAGATTCTACAAGCTAATTAAATGGATTATTATATCACAACTTTAAAGACTATGCCAAAATATTTAACATAAAAAATTCTTATAAACACTAGACAAATCATTCCGAAAACCAATCCAAAACAATTAGTGCTTTGTGTTAAAGAGAACACACATAAAATACCTGATCATCAGCAAACTTAACAAGGGCTGCCATGGGGTCAGCACCAGGAGAAAGTATAAATATCAGTGGTGCACAAGAGTGGCTGTCAGAAAATGCTTTTGACAAATCAAATGGAGGTGGATCAATAAATGTACGGCCCAGGTTGTGAATGATAAATTCCTGCACCATTGGTATGATCTAAAAAAAAGGAAGAAGAGAATTTAAATCTCCTATTTATGTGTAAGCATTAACATCTATTACACTTAACATTTTAATATAAATGTCAAGGACAGTATTCCTGTATGGAATAGTAGGCACAACTGCACTCCCAGAGTAATCAATGATTTAGCATGTGTAAATTGAGGCAAAAAAAGCCTCAGCTCAAAGATGCTCTAAGAAGGATGAAAAAGGAAGTCCTATGCAAATGACCCTTGATATCATTTCTGTCCCCATATCTGGACAGACTAATGTGTTTGTATAAGAAGCTTGATTTTTTTTTTTTCTGCATGCCCTCCTCTGTATTATGGAGTGGCTTTCAATTTTCCAGTCTCATAACTGAGCACGTCTAAAGTATCTTGGCTTAGCAAACTGCTGTGTACCAATTTCTATACACTGATGGCTTTACTTCCTACTGAAGTTAAGTGGACTCTGCAGCAGGAACAAGAGACAATTTATAAGAAGATAGCTTCAATCTTTGGTCCTGTGAACAGTTGTAGATATATTTCTCTTAAATATCACTATTTATTTTGTCTCTTTTAAATAACTTTAAAACACATGGTAAAGATTTTATAATTATTACTTCCACTTTAAAGAATTGCAATAGTATTTGGAAACATTCTACTAAGATTTGATCTCTGAACATGAAATGCAAGAAATGCTAAAGGTTTTGAACAGCAATGTTAATCCAACATCTTTGGTCATAACCAGTGTATTTTTAATTTGTTAATGTAAAAGATATATGAAATTTCTATTTTTTTTAACTTGCTTTTTAACATTTCAATTATAAAACTTTTACTTTTCATGTTGTTTAGGTGCTTTCAGTTAATAAATGTATGACAAAGTATATAGAATGTGACAGGAAAAAAAAAAAAAAGTAGGTTCACTTCTCTTGATTGTCCTGTTCATAGAATCACCTGTGCTTGCGCTTAAAGTCTACTCTGACACAGGTGAAATGTGTAAACAATTAGTAAAGTACCTTAAATTCGAGAGCAGGAAGTAGGTAGAGGCTCTAGGCTGTACCAGTTACAGGCTGTTTAGATGGAGATGTTATTGCAAGAGCTTGCTTCCTCCTCTAAGCTTTTGAGGGACTTTAAAGAGATGTATGAGTATGAGAACCGTTTAAAAACCTTTACAAATTGGCCTTTTGCGAAGAACTGCAAGTGCACTCCAGAGAATGTAAGTCTGAAAACTGATATTTTAACTACATCTTATTCTTGGTGTACTATACTGAATATAAAGTTGTTGTTAAGTGTATTCATGTTCAAGAAGAGCTGCAGGCCTGTGCTAAGCTGCAGTGGTTTTACCTTGCTAAGCAGCCGAACTCCACCTCAACAGCTCTCTCACTTCCCCTCCTCAGAAGAGGAAGGTAAGAAGAAACAGAAATAAACAATTCATTCCTTGAGATAAGGAGAGTTTAAAGGGAAAATTATTAAGTAACTTCCCTAAAGGCAAAGGGGAAAACAACAACAAGCAAAGGTGCAAAAGCAACATGTGTAGCTGTTGTTCAGAAGGACAGATGTTTTCACAGTGAGAGCCCACTCCTTCCCTCTTCTTTTTTCTACCTTTTATTGCTGAGTGTAACATCGTATGGTATGGAATGGGCTAAAGTTGCACCAGGGGAGGTTTAGATTGGATGTTAGGAAGAACTTCTTTACTGAAAGGGTTGTGAGGCATTGGAATGGGCTGCCCAGGGAAGTGGTGGAGTCACCATCCCAGGAGGTCTTTAAAAGACATTTAGATGTAGAGCTTAGGGATATGGTTTAGTGGAGGACTTGTTAGTGTTAGGCCAGAGGTTGGATTTGGTGATCTTGGAGGTATCTTCCAACCTAGATGATTCTGTGAATATCCCTTCGGTTGGTTTAGGTCAGCTGCCTTGGTGATGTTCTTTCCTCACCTCTTGCCCACACCCAGCCTGCTGGCTCTAGGGGGATGGCATTAGAGGGAACCCTGATGCTGTGCCTGTATTGCTCAGCAGCAGACACAGCGGTGGTGTGATACCACTGCTGTTCTAGCTGCAAACACAGCACTGTATGGGCTGCTGCAGGGGAAGTTAACTCCATCCCTGCCAGACCCAGTACATAAGCCTGAGATGAAAATCTGAGTACTTTCTTCTGTTCCCTTCTCAGAGACGCTGTACTAGGATGACTATGTTTCTGTCTGGTCAGTTCACTAGTCTAGCTACAGAATTGAGTATAATTACTTTTCTTGCCTTTACTTCTTTGTTTTTGTCACTTCAAAATTAACATCTTGTACTAAGTATTGTTTCTGCTTGCAAATTTTCTTTTAGGAGTCATCCTAGCAACTACTCGTCCTTTAGGAAGGATGGAGTAGCAAAATGATCATGACTTAAAAAAAAAAGCATTTCAATTTTAGAAAATGCTTTAAGTCCCTGTAGGCTTTAATTTAAGCCTTTTTTTTTTTTTAAAAAAAAAAGAGGCCTCAATTCTACTTTGGCACATGCATCCAGCTTTCAGGTTGGATCTCAGATAAGGCATGCTGTAGGAGTTATCTGAGAAGGTGTGAAGTTCAGTAACTGAAACAAGCTTATCTTATTTTTTAATGTTTTTACCGGATGTGATTCAAAAGTGACAGTAAAATGTAAAGATAAAAAATGTAGCACTAAACTTACATACTTGAAGTATAAAGGTTCTCTATGGTCATAGTTTTATGCTACGTGTTTTCTCTGAAAATATTCCTTAAATTCCTGGCTATAGTGGATGATCTCATACATTGTTAGCAGAATGCTTGTGTAGCTGCCACTGACTAACCACTGAAAGAACAAAGCTACTCTGGTAGTTTGCAGATACCGTAACTATGCAGAAACTTGTTCACTACTTCTAGCCTACTTCCTGTTCCTTTACTAGTTGCTTATTTGCCTGCTTGCAGTCCTCACTTAATTTGTTTTCAGCCTGATCTCTGCTGATAGATACTGTGGGGAAAGGCATTCATGCAAGCTCTCTGAAACAGTTCACTTGTGTTCACTGTTGGATCAAGCTAAACTTCCAAACTGTCATTTGCAGATGGCAAAGGCGGGCTTTGTACACTGTCCAAATGCAAATGAACCAGATGTGGTGAAATGCTTCTTTTGCCTGATAGAACTAAAGGGCTGGAAACCAAATGATGACCCATGGTAAGCACGGATGTAACAGTGGTCAAGTATTTCCCCCCACATCTTTGGCAACATTCCCTTACTCATTCTAAAACTACCAATTTCCCAAACAGTTAACTAAACTGATGCCTACTGAAAATTTATCTTACACAGTAACCTTGAAATACTTAATTTGCTAATTATATCCCCATGCAACTTTTCAGTTCTTAGATTTTTGCCTCCAAAGAGTGTGTTTTTGCTTCAACAAAGCAGAAGATTCTCTCAACATTGTAAACATAATCTAGATCTTCCCTTGTAATCTTCCTGGCTCACAACTAAAGCAGCTAGCTTGTATCTGAGATCACTAAAGTCTATTTCATGTCTTCTATAAGATAATTTTTCTACTAATGGGTAGTAGAGGTACTAAAGAGACTGGTTTAAGTTCATCTCTGGAAATGTAACTTTCCTGGTTTTAATATCTGTTCTTCTGTATTTACACTGCAGGGAGGAACACACAAAAAGTCACAGCTGTGGCTTTTTATCTCTTAGTAAGAACTTTGATGATCTGACAGTGGAGGAATACTATGTGTTGGAGATGACACGGCTAAGAACCTTCCTTGTAAGTGTTGACCAAATGATCTTAATATTTACAGTCTACCATTGCATCTTACAAGAATTTCTGTCTTTAAGACTTTTAAGCATTAGCAAGGGATGGTGGTGTAGGGCTAGAATAGGCCTTACTCTGAAGTAATGAATAATGTGTGTTATTGGCTATGAAACCTAAATGCTTCTCAATCCCGTCTAGCTTATGAAAGGAAACCTGGTTCCTTTAGACATGTTTTTCCATTTCAGCAGAAATTATCTTGTGTGATAATCAATCCTGGAAACTCTATAATAAGCAGCTCTATCTTTCTCAGGAGGGATGAAAACCACATGTGACAAGACAATTTGACCAGGCTATTGATTCATTCATGTGTCCAGCTTTACATGAAATCACTGTCTAATTAAGCTGCTGGACTTTCAAGCCTATTTCAAATGTTTCACAATTTTTCAGTTCTAATCCTCTCTACTTTTATTTTGTGCATGCCATGCTGTTGACATAAACAAAAGCACACACAACTGAGCTGCTATGACGAATAGTCTTTGATAATGATTCCTTATTGGTCTGAATAGTAATAGAGAACCAAGTGAGACAAGTTCCCTGATAGGACAGATTTACAGTACCTCCATACTCTGTATCTTATCTCTTTGTTGGCTTTGTACTGAAAATATAACTAATGACTGTAAAGGTTAAGTATTTAAATTCTATACATGACAGACTCAAATACTTAAAAATAAAATCACATGTCTCAGTGGGAGAAGTCTGATATCTCGAAGGATGGACTAAGGGTGAAAATGAGGTTATTTAACTATAACTGAACAGCGGATTTTTTAGAGCAGTCTTTCAAGATACAAGAAGGGTCTAGGCCAACACATACCTTTATTTTTATCTAATAAATTTAGAAAACTGGAAGGTTTGAGCAGGGACACTTTGCCCCCAGGAATGCCCTAATCAATAGCTTAAAGGACTACACACTAGGGCTGCTGTTGATCTGCAGCATGCTGCAGATCAAAAACATTGATATCTTAATGCATTTTTTCTAAGCGAGATCATGCCTCTTCACAAAAGTAACACTGAAGTCTCCCTCCCTGATGTGATTTAAAATACAGTTAAACAATGGGTTCACAATTTACTTCAAAAACATACCAGATAAAATGAAAAACTTACTCTGAAATGAACCCTACTGGCAAGGCTGGTGGAAGAATTTCTGAATCAAGTGGGAATGGGTATGGATATGAAATATTCAGTCTGAAACATGCAGTTCGGTGCATATTGTTGACCAAAGCCAAAAGTAGACTTCTAAGCTAGAATCAATGGCAGATTGTGGTTTTGAGGATTTAAGTTCTGAAAATTTTTGAATTTATCAGTTAAATTTCTCAATTGAGAATTTCAATCTTTTGCTTTAAGTGCAAGACTGGCAGAAGCATAATAATCTCTTTTGAAGATGAAGTCGCCGCAACTAGGAAGCGTCTTGTAGACATCTTTTCCAAACATCAATACACACCAGAGCCGCCAGTGCTTCTGCATGCTGATCCAACTTCCCAAACTTCTGAAAGTTCATACTACCAGTCCAAAAAAACTTCCAAGAGAAGTGAAGTGTGAAGACTGACTCTGAAATTTTCTCTTCTTCATATGGTACTAATATTCTTATTTTTACGCAAGGAGTAATGTAAAGCTGAATAGTTGTGTGAGCAAGTGTAGGAAACTTTTTATATACTCCCTAGGACAAAGGTCATAACTGTTTCTATTAACTCCTATCCTTCACAATGTGCTTGTCATTATGGCTAGGAGTGAACTATTACTAGTCTCATTAGTCTGAGAATATATGAAAAATGTTTAAGTAAATACTTATTCTGGCTTAATAGGTTGAACTTTTTGAATAAAAATTCATAACTCAGTTACTATTGTGATCTGTGCTACATTCAAGCCTTTGAGCTAGACTGACTCAGATCAGAATGGTTCTGCTTCAAAACACTTTCTATAGAACAGAATGGATATGTGTCTACAGTAATCCCTACTTTTAAGTACCTATGTTGTCTACATTCCTGTTTACCACTAAATTATCTTTCTAGACCAGTTATAATTTACCATAGTAACATCTAGCAAAAAAAAATGCAGAAGGGAAAAATACTTGGTGTATTGAAAAAGGCAAGTCCAGGCTTGTAAGACCTCCTTGAGGAAGAAGTGCTTAGGGGTTTGGGTACACAACAAAACTTAATCTAATGGCCTGGGCTTCTGATTTAAAAAGTCTGCTCGTCATACTTTCAGACTGTTTTTTTTAATTAAATGAATTCCTGTTTTCTTATTTCATAGTTTCAGCTGGGATAAAGTCTCTTCTTGGAGGCTAATATAATGTCTTCTGGATTTTTTTATGGAAATAGTGGTAATAAAATAAAATATTTATGTTTTATAAATATTTTAATTGCTGCATAGTGCTTACTTTGAGTCAGGGACTTCTCAGCTTCTTATGCTGCCCTGACAGCAAGGAGTCCGGTGGTGCACAAGGAGCTGGGAGTGGACACAGCCAGGACTGCTGACCCAAACTGACCAAATATTTCATGCCATAACACACCATGCTCAGCAACAAAAGTTGGGGTAAAGGAGGAGAGGATACATTTGGAGTGGTAGTGTTCTTCCTGAGAATTTTCTTTACCTTGTAACCTGTCTTTACGTCAGCACAAGTTCTTTTACTTTTACCTTCCTGACTCTTACACCTGACTGGGTAGAGTGACTTAGCTGCCTTCTGGGGTAAACCATGATAACACAGTTAAAATACACACTTGCAAATCCTTTTGGTTTCCAAGACAATTTTGAATAAGGTGGGAGTTTTGTACGTACCTTGTCAGGTCTCAGGCAGCGAATGATAAGCATCCTTTGGAACTCTCCCAGCTTGTCTTGCCACTCTGCAGGAAAATTCTCATGCTGGGGATCCTGAAAACACAAACATTCTAGTTTTCTTTAGAGCATTTGGGGAGTACAGGTAGTGGGACTAAATTATCTTGTAATTTGACACATCAGTACATCAATCCATGATACATTTTTTATTAATCTGCAGGAATAGGGTTGATATGTTTTGTTTTGTTTTTTTTACAAAATCTTTGTATCTGGGAAGCTTCTATTTTAGCAGAGAAGTTAGTCATTTCTAGGTGTTTAGAATATAGGAAATACACCCTTCACCTCTAGGAAGAAGGTGGAAGAGTGAATAAATATGAAAATGTATTTAATCTACTTCTTGCTGTGTTAGAGCTGAATTAAAGTCAGTCTTTGATATTACAATGACAACCATATACTCCTCTGTAACAATTACACTACAGTATTACTTGATAATCATGAATTAGGTTGCATCTGAATGCAGAAAAAGAATTGGAAAGTTAAGTCAAACAATGCACCAGAGAGCTAGCTTTGTAAATGGCCTCTGAATACTCCAGTTATGTTACTGCACTTATCAGACTAGAATATCAAAGGTTGTGTGGCATGTGTTAACTTACACACAACAGGTGTTACATTTCAGTCTGCTTTTCTGGAAGCTGGTATTACAGCTCTGCTGGGGAACCTCTTAGGCTTGCCTGTAGAGGGTTGGGCACAGAGGTATGCAGATAGACTTGCACCAACTCTATTCCGAGCAATTTTGATTTAACAAATCAAGTCACAATGGAACTCATATTCTGCAAAAGATCTGGACCCTGACTCTCCTTCTCCCAGCTTTTAGACACTTAATTTCAGACTAGAATCCAGAACACTGCATTATTTTTTCTATTTATGGGTACCTGATAATCTACCTCTTCTAGGTACCTTTTTATGTAGCACTCAGGATTCAGTAACAATGTTTCTGGATGCAGTGTTACTGATTATTAGATTCTTTGTCAGCTAATTGGTGATCTGATTCTATAGATCTTGTTTTTTTTTCTTTCTTAATGACTCTTAAATGAAGGAATTTCTATTATTTCAGTTTAGCTGTTTGAACTGCTAGTATTGTTAATTTGACTATCAGTCACATGGATCTTGAATCTTTACTTCTGAAAGTTAGCACCTTTGTGTTGTTTTAAAAAGCTATAATCTCAGAGTGCATAACCAAGTAGTCTCTTCCTCAATCTCCATTTCTAAGGCCATCATTTCTGTGTTCTGGTGACTATTTTCCGAAGAGCTCTCAACTTGTCATTTAGCATTTACAAAAACATATAGCAACTTCATTTCTGCTGTTCACCTCTTTCCTGTAATCTGGACAATTGAAGGAGCCAAATCTGATTAGTCTCCTTAATTTCTCTTATCATACAGATGTAAGCATTTCCAACAAAAATCTGTTCTTTTCCTCTCTGCATCTCCTTCAGTCCCTTTGTTAGAGGAAGAATTTCTAAATACTTGAAATTTACAATGGATAAAACAATCTTTTTGAAATGGACATAAGATATCCTGTGCCATTTGGCAGAATATTGGTAATAAACTAGCATAAATGGACAGTATTATCTGAATATTGGAAGCAGTTATGGCCAGATACGGTGCCCATAGGAAAGAGGGTAGTTTCTCAAATCATTTAATAAGGAGGCATGTGTACAGCGAGCACTTCATATATGAAGAAGCAGAAGGGAGGGGATGTATGATTTGAAAAAATGTTCTTAGTAAGATTAAAGATAAAGCAAGTGCCCAAATGTCAAGTAGAATTCGTCTATAAAGCTTAGATTTTAATTAAACAGTGATGGAAATATATAAAATCTTTCATGCATAATTAACTATAACTGTGACTGTCATTCTTGGGAATAAAACATAGGTCTCTGAAATTGCATTCTAGTTTCTCTACAAAGCAATTGTTTTGTTTGTTATTGTTGATATCTTTTTTAAAAAGATTTACCCAGGAAAGCAGCATACTACATAATAGCATGAAAAGGTTGACAAGGCACAGTGGTTGCCTTCAGTTTAACAACTTTCACTCTCACCTTACTACTGTAGGTTTTGTAGCCTTTTTTTCCAGCCCAATTCAAATCATGACTTGGTATTCAGAAGCCACATGACAAATGGGCAATCATCTACAACTACACACCATTTGCTTAAATATTTACATTCATATATGCAAGCACATACCATGTAAAATGACAGCACATTCTTTTCCCTGAATAAAGATTTTCAATGTCTTAATTAGTTCATGAATGCACGCTATCATGAATGTTAACATACCAAGCTGTCGTATACCAGTTTCCATCCATCCTTAAGTCGCATAAAATCCTCACGAATGTTTGTGAATTGTGGCAAGTCTTCTAGTCGACAAATTTCATCCCATGATTGTGGAGGAAGCCAGGTGCATGGGTTAGGGAAGGGATTGTCCAAACCTATCCCACCGGTCAACAGAAATTTCCACTCACTCTCATTAATCTACAATGAAAAAACACAGCTCTCAGGACTAAATAAATAAAATCAAATGTTTTCAGTACATTATGTAGAAAATCACATTTATCTGAATTATTATGCTACTTGAAAAAGCTTCCTACCAAAAGCCTATTTCAAAAGCATTTAGTGTCTGGCTTTCAGTTAAGCATGAATTTAAGGAATCTAAAAAAATGATATGAACTGCTCATATCGTAAAATCATCTGCATTCCTGACTTGGGGGAGTGAACGATTTTAACTGACTAGATTTTTAGACAAAGTTCTATTTGTTAGATGCATTTTTTTAATTCCCAAAATGTTGAATGAAAAAAAAAAATATTTCTGGGAACCATATATCTTGAAACATTTTCCTACAATTCAAGCCCAAACATGAAAAACTGCTATCAGCCTATTACATGTCCCACTCCTTTCTCAATATTCCTTTATCTCAAAATCTCTTTGGCTTAAATTTGTAAATCCAGGTTCCTGTATCTATGACTATTACTGTCAGCTCTTTAAAGTATTCACTTCTATGTATTCCCCAACGCAAAAAGTTTGAAGTGTTTAAAATCTTAAATGAAGGTGAAAGAAACAACCCCAAGCACCTGTAAGTACCATTTCACAGAAAACCTGGATAAAATGGGTGTATTTCACTTACAAAATATTTCTTTAGTAGGATTTTTTATGAAGAATTACTAGAAATTAATAGAATTCATTTGATACATGTGTTTGATTTTCAGGAATACTTTGTAAAAATTAAACACATTTAGCACCCTAAGTGAAAAACATGAGTAGTTTATTAAATCAATGGTTACAGTTCATTTTTCTGTGCTGTTAGAATACTTATGTTATAGTAAAATTTTGGAAACTGTTGACTGTTAGAATAACATAGGCTAGGCTTAGGTTTAAGTCATGGTTTAGAAAAACTATTATCACCTAGTTCGGATTTGCCAGACCTGTTTGTTACATATTTATTTTATTCTAGAGATTATTTTTCAATGCTTATAATTATTAAAATCAAACACCTCAATTATGGATTAAATATTATAGATAAACTTATTTTTCTATTTTAATCTTCTAAATTCATATTACTGATAGTTTGTATATGCAGTTTTATATATATCATACCAAGCTGCAAATTATTTTTAGTTACCAATTTTTCGTATTTCAGAAGATTCACAGTTAGACAAAAAGAGAAGAGCAGCTTGTCCTTTTCAAACAGTGAGCGACAGACATTGACGTAAAGTGAGTAAGTAAAGTGATCCTTGAGAGTCTTCAACCTAGAGATATCAGGAAAAGAACAATCTTCCATTAATATCACTAAAGCCTGTGTATTCTGGAAACCTATTACAAACAAACTGGATTTCCTTTGGTGCAATAAACTCTCTGGTCAATTACCCCCAAAAGAATCTTTAAATATGTGTTCCAAGTTATGAGCAAAATAACATAAAAATTATTTAAGTGGAATTACAATTTAGCACTATGTGTTTTGTTTTGTTTTGTTTTTAGAGGAAATGAGAGGTCCCCTTTGAGAGGGGTACAAAACATCGATCTTATAATTCATTATCAACATAAATACCGATGCTGAAATTAAACCAGCCTATTTTAATAGTCATTTGAAGTATGTTTCCCATTCTACAGACTATTTACCTTAATACACTAATACAAATATATTAAAAAGTTGTGATTTATTATCAATAATTTTCCTTAAAGAAACAAGCAAGGAGACCATCTAAAGCCTCCCTGGAGGCTGATAATTACAAAAGCTTGAATACCTAATCAAAATAATGAAAAACCAATACAGGTGATTAGAAATGCAGATACTGAATTTGCACAATTATTTCAAAAACTTCTTTCAAAGTAATAACAAAGATGTGGAGGGGTTCTATGGCTTTTTTCCAACTATCTAGATCACTGGTCCTTTGGCAGGTAGTTATTCTGAGGGTATTCTTCCACTTCAGACATGGTGATCCAGACATGGTGATCATTTGAAAACCTAAATGTGATCTATTACAATTGGAAAGTGGAAAGATCTGAAAGTAGATCAAGGATGAGAGCAAGCTATG